CATTTGCATTTAGAATATCCTAAAAAATCTAAAAAATTTTGAATCTATCATGTGTCATTTCCTTACTGTTAGCTAATAGCTCCAATCTTCAAAACACAGTTTGTGTCAGAAATAAAAAATCATGCATTTCCTGTAAAGGTGCTTCAGGTTTTTTCCAAATCTTACTGAAGTACCATACCAGCATTCCATCAACCAAAGAAGGCACATAGGTTTTTTTCACATCCTAATTTATTTCAGCTTTATTGTAAAAGTAGGACATTACCATTGTTAAAATGTTGTTGTCCAGTGATATTTGGCACATCTCTGCATGACACAGTACTGATACCCATTCTTTTTGCTAATGCTGGCAGCATTGCTTTGAATACTGCTCTTTAAATGTATGTGTAACAGCTGGAGTAGATCTGTGACAGCTTGTCTATAAACTATTGATCAGATTTTTAAATACCTGCTTGTTAATAGCAATGAGGCCTAATAAAAGCATCACACACTTCTCTAGAGAGCCCTTCCCTGGATTGGGTTGGAGATGTGTTAAGACTTGTTCCCACTCAAGTCACTGGGGAAATGCACATTAATTTTCATTGCAAATGGTATTTGACATTGACTCTTCAGGGATTTAGAGAACTATAAATATGCTATTGACCATTTCACATTCCCTAAGATCCAGTGAAAATACAGAACCACGCAGACGAATTTCAAAGGTTCTCTCCAGCAAATTAATCCAGCTGGCAATGCTGTCTGTTTAGGCAGATCTCCACACATGTTCTGTTAGACAACCTGCTAAGTGCTGCGATGAACAGCGTAACTGTGTATGGAACTGAATTCTCCTGTCCGTCCTCTGCGTATACATTTGCTCCTGTTTGCACTTCGTAACAGTCTAAACATATCCCATTGCTTTAGGTATAAGAAGACATTGAAATCCGTTCTCTACCTAGCTGTTCTCTGTTTATTGCAGACTGCTTCAGTTGAAAAGGAAAAGAAAAGAAACATTGGGAAAACCCCTGCCTGTCCCCACATAGCCATGGAGTACTACCTGAGCAATTCAGTGCTGAGGAAAAAATGACATTAAATGCTCCTCTTTCTGAAATGAAAGGAGTAGGGAAACCTACTTTGGGGAAACCTTCCTTTGGGGAAATGCAGGGAGACAACTTCAGCTCCCATGCTAGGAGCAGAGCAGCTCACTGGTGAAAAACCAATAGCCAGATTTTAAGTCCACAGTAAGTTTCTTCTATAACATACTCTTCTTATTTCAGATATTATGGCAAAACACAAGGAAGCCGTAGAAGCTACCATTTAAATAATTAATGGTCCAGCTCTGCAGTTCATCACTTTCAGAAAACCAGTCTCACTGGCATCAGCAGGACTGCTTACATCCTGGTATTTGGCTAACGATGAACAAGAAGTAGGCAGTCAGCATACAGATGGAGAATTCTTGGAAACCTCTCTGTATTAATCTTCCTTCAGCACCAGTGCAGAATCCCAAAACGTACTCTGAGCCAATCTCACTGAGCTACAAAAGAATGTAAGAATCCACAAGCGTTTTACCAAGACATTGGATAGGGCTGTCATCATTGATCATGTGAGCTCTGAGATTATACCAAGGTCACGGTGATGGAGTTTCTAGATCGTCCATGCATATCTCCAGTCTTTAGTTTTGATTAGGAAATATCCACTGAGTTATGTTTTCTTCACTTGTGAAGATAGGTTGCCAAATGAAGCCAATGCTGCCAGTCAGAATTTGGTTAGTAATTATCTGGGAGTACAGCTCTCATTTTTCACTTGTACATTCACATGATTAACATGGCACATTATCATCACCCCTCCATACCGGCTTTTGTTGAACAGCTCAAGAAAAAAACCACACTACCAAAGCTCTCAAAAACTGTGAAATAAGAAATACAGGGAAGCTTTAATGTTGTGCTGTACATCACATGCTTTACCCAACTGCAACCAGTGCCTTTTGAATAAAAGCATCTAAAACCCACTTCAAGGGGATAAGGTGCCTAACATCTGCAACAATATCCTTCTGTCTTTCTGCCTACAGAAGGAGCAGTTAAGTCTTGCAAAGAGACATTTTTTTCTATTTCCTGAATGTCACTGGCACGTCAGGTCTCTCTTCATGCCTTCAGAAGTTGGAACCAACACCAACATCCTAACTTGGATGACAACAATTTCATGCAAGGCCTTTTTTTTCATTTTATTGAAGATCCAGTATCTTTTCACAAAACTAGCAAACTAGCCCACAACATCAGCGACACATCTGTACTGCAATGTATGACATTCCCCCTCAAAACCTTTTCTATCGGCCTTCACACTTCACCCTTCCTCCTGAGTGACAAAATCACTGTTGTCTGTCAGACTACAGTTACTTTCCTCGGTGAATAAAGAGATTCACTAAAAGGCTACTATCTGAGGAGCAGAATGGTGGGAGTTTTGTTGTTAGACAGAGATGCTGTATTTCACACTGAAAAGAAAAATTGCCAAGTGGAATCTAAGCTGCATATTAAGGGACTTACAGCCCACTTGTTTGGCTTTCCAAAGTATATGCAACTTAGTAATCCTAACCCAAAGTCTGCAAGGCTTTGAAATCAGAGTACATCTAAGACCTTCATACCATATTTTCTCTGAAATTTCTTAATATTAAAAATGAAAAAATAAATTGTAATTGAGGTAACTACAATAAATTATTTGTAGGTTCATGTTTCAATGGATTTTTACATCTTAAGAGAGAAAGTGTAGTTTGAAATATTGCTTGGCTCTTTTTGCAGGGCACGGCCTAGAGGAAACAGAGTAGAATATGCAATGTATGTACGATGTTTTTTCAAGACTCTTGGAAACAGAACAACTTACATATGTAATAGAGCCCAAGCAATGACTGAATAAAGAATGACAAATAACTTAAGATTTGTTATGACAACTTTGACATAATAGCACTGTGCAATTTTTTTTAACTATGTGCCTGATGCAGCAACACTCTCATGAAGAACAGCTGCTTAACTATTTCACTGCAAACAAGACTGTGCAGTTGAGGATCATGACACCACCAGTCAACATCAACAGCAGTTTTGAATTTTATGAGAGATGCACAGAATAGTTTATATTTCAGCTGCACCTTTCTGAATGTGGAACACGATCTGGGCACATGCATGTTTAGATGGCCGATAGGCTGGGTGTAAGCTGGTATTCCTAGGAAAAGTCTGACTGAATCAAAAATTACTAACGGGGCTCCTAAGGAACTGCGGTCTATTTAAACACTGAATTTCAATTTATAAATCAAGTTAAAACAAGTACAGATATGCAATGATGTACATCACTTTTGAGCAGACATTTGTGATAATTATCTCTACCAATTTCTTTGCAAAGATTTTCTCTAACCTAACTTTACCTATACGCAATGTGGAAGTAAGTAAAATTCTGACAAGGAGTACAGAAGACATGCTTTTCCAGAACATAAAAATCCTTTACCTGATTGCTTTCCAACCACCTTCAGTGGACTTTCAATATTTTTCTCCACAATTAATTACACTACCATGCTTTGGAAAATCTGACAAATTGTCAATAATTAGATGCCAACCACTTAGGGTTGTGTGAAACTTGGCGGTTTCACTTTGTAGGAGTGCAGGCAAATATTTTATTTGGTGTCAATCCACCTATGTTCCCTCTCCACCAATTTCAGTTTGGGTTTTGACTTTTGAGTAAGTCCAAACAGGCAAATGAATAAGCAGTCAAAATTTCCACATTTTACCTGGTTTCACTTCATGACCATGCGAATAAAAACCAGGCTGGCATATTGCCATGAATCAATGGAACAATTTAGATGTTCAAATTCAGAAGGAAATACAAGAAAAACATCTATCATCTTATTTTGGTGATTTACACCCATCTAGCCACCCAAAACACCCAGGATCATGATGATGTTCTCTCTCCCTAGCGCCATTACTGTTTTTATTCTATTCTGTAAAGTGCTGCAGGCGTGTGCGTTTATGATGCCATATAAAGGTCCAAAATGAGAATAATAGTAGTAATAATTGGTTTTGTTTAAAATCCTGCCAGCATTTTACATCATCCCAGCTGCTTTCTACTCTTTCCGTACACCCCCAAGTATCTTGGGATTGCAACTCACTGGATCACCACTGCTGTTGTCAGTGTGCCTGATTCTGGTCTTTATCTGACTGATCCAACAGCAACTACAGCAGGTGAAATTTGTTTTAAATAAGGGACATACGCCACAGAAGTAATAACCATTCAAAAGGTCTGACTGTATTAACATTTCTGCTGAGAACGTATTTGTTGCATCCTTCTATGGAGGAAGTGAAAGAAAAGAAGGATATGGAGTCCCAAATCCAAGTAACTACAGGTACCATATGTGGGAAGTTGTGAGGTAGAGAAGTAAGAGGAATGAAAGAAACAAAATAATGAAGGTGAGAAACAGATGTAAAATATTGGTAGAAGTGGGAAAGACAGAACAGTCTGAAAACTGAGATGTAGAAGATAAGGAAGATAACAGATGAGAAAGATAACTTTAGCATATAGGATGGGAATCAAGAATAAATGGATTATGGATGGACTGAAGGAGAGATGACGATAAAGGGAAAATGAGGTTGAGTGAGCATGGAGGTAAATAAATACAGGCACACACTGAAGACCAAGATAAAATTAGGGAGGGAGATGAGAAAAGTTGAAGAAAGAATGGCGTAAGAACAAAAAGGAGATTCAAAAAAAGAAAGGTATGGGACTGAGAGACAAAAGTGCATCTGGTAATGAGACAAAGAACATCAAAACTTTACAGGATAAAGGCAGAAGTAGGATTTGAAAAAAAATTATGAATTGGATAATAGACCTATGAATGGCAAAATGGTTAAAAATAAGCATAAGTACAGAGGTAGGACACAAGAGGATAGGAAAGAGAGAAGACATCAGGAAAGGGATGGGATTGAAAAGCAGCAGACAAAGCTGACACTTGGATGGAAACCTTGCATGCAAGGTCTGCAAGGTCATCTTACCAGTCCACCACAGGTACTGAAGGAGGCGAAGGAGCCCGGGTAGCGGAGGACAGCACCACTGTAGTAACAAGCTCTCTCAGGTTGTGACTGTGCAGCACCAGGTGGGCTTTTGCCCTCGCCCCCGAGCCGCTCCTCCACGGCAAAGCCAGGAGCCAGGAAGCGGCTGTCCCTCTTGAGCAGCAGGTAGAGCTCCCGAGCAAAAGCTGGGATCCTCAGCAGCACCTCATCTCCGTCCTCTGCTGGACGTGGTGGCGGGGAGGATGGTGGCAATGGCAACTGAGAGGCAGCACCAGACCCCTGGGGCAGGGGGGACCAGTGGTAAAACTCCTGAGACTCATACTCATCCTCAGCATCCTCTTCCTCTGCTGCCTCCCCCACAGCCTGCGCCTGCCCCTCCACCGAGGAGGAGACTGAACGCACCTCCCTGGAACTGCCGGCCACTGGGCTAGGTGTGATGGGGGCACTGAGGGTGCTGCTCCGGTTCCCACAGCTGGGGTCTGTACTGCAGCCCCCACCACCACCACCACTGCCACCCGCCGGCTCCTGCTGGCCCCGGCTCCACAGCGCGGGGAAGACGATCTCCCACTCCTCAGTTTCTTCTGAAGCATGGAGACCTGCGGGAAGGCCAGCAGATGCTTTAAGTGAATGGAGCACCCAGCAGCACACAGCGCCTGCCAGAAACTTACCCCATGCCCCCCACCACATGCTCCTTCTGGCTCCAAGCCCACCAAGCATGCCACCCAAAATGCAGGGGGATCCATTTGGCCCTTTCATCCTGTCTTTACAGATGGTGGACAGGGCAGCCGCTAGATGTCTCCACTCCTGCTCAGGGGCCTGGTAAACGTGGAGAAAGAGCCGCAGCTCAAGCTGGGCAGAACTTGTGTTTGTACCAGTTGCTGGGGATGTTATTCTTCATGACCATCACCTCCAGGCAAAGGAGAGCTGCATAAACCCTTCATTATTTAGACAAAGCGGCAACTTTCCGTACAGCTAAATAAAAATTGTTGGCTTAAGCAGGGAAAACCTGAACAAGGGAATTTTAAAACTTCAGCCTTGTTATCAGCATGGCTTGCAAGACCCATCACGATTTGAAAAGTGCAGTCAAATGCACACATGCCCCATGGCTGCACGTATAAGTGGCAGACGGATGCACGTGCTGTATCATCATTACCGCTACAATAAAGCTGGACTGTAATCATTGATTAGCGATGTCAGTGTATTGCACGCCCGGTAACGCAGTTTAACCAAAATTCCCAGCATACCAGCTTTATAAACACGCGGGGACACACAAAATCTCCGCTAGCCTGAGACAGAAGAGAGTTTTCTTTACGCAGTCATCCTACACAGGGTAGGAACAGCACTGCTGAGACGACAGGGCTGCGCATGAGAACCACCATCTCGGGCAGGCGAGCGTGTGTTGCAACGCGCCTCAGCGCGGAGGGACGCATTATCTGGCCACCCATCGGTTACAGGACACGGGCTGCTCGGGCGCTTAACAACGGGCAGGTACCGGCTACG